GTAATAACTGTATAAGATGTTTTACTTGAAAAAAACTGGGGTTTAGGCTTAACGTTCAGAAGTCAATGTACTAGTGTTGTAATAACTTACATTGACTTCTGGACGTTAAACCTAAACCCCAGTTTTTTCAAGTAAAACATCTTATACAGTTATTACAACACTAGTACATTGACTTCTGGACGTTAAGCCTAAACCCCAGTTTTTTCAAGTGAAACATCTTATACAGTTATTATAACATTAATGTATTGTCAGCTTGGCAGTATAATCTCAAATTCCAGTCGATTTGCAAATGTTTTTGAGTCCAGACGAAAATTTAAATTAACTCTGCCAGAAACGTATTGTTGTCGTTATTGACTCAACTAACGCAGCCTTACTTTGATTGACTGGTATAACTATTTAAACCAGCAGTATAAGAATTAATAATGCAATACAGAGCCATTTAAAAAAATAAATTTAAATGCGTATATTTAATACCCATTCAAGCTTAATTACTCTGAAAATATTCAATAGAAAACAATGAATAGGAACCGACTGCGTAAGCTTCCTTTGGTGGGCTATCGACAGTTTACAACAGACAAGGTTTTCTTCGGATAGAAATTGCTGTTAAAGCTACTCATCTTTTATGTAGTTTAGTATTTACAAAGATGCCAATTATACACAGACGCCGTGCTTTAAATGTCAACTTGTAGAATGTGTACGTATATTTGAATCAAAGTCTTGTCGTATCTTTGTTATCATTTTACCTTCATGCACAATAACATCTACCTAATGACCCACCCACAGAGACCATAAATAAACACGTGTAGTGTAGGGAAAGAGGTGTACTGGGGGATTTTGTGAAATCACATACAAGGGCAACTTTAATCAAATGACGGATTACTGGGGGATTTAGTGAAATCACATACAGGGGCAACTTTTATCAAATCCAATGACGGAGTACTAGGGGAGGGGGGAGGGTTAGTGAAATCACATACATTCAAACCACAAATCGTAATTGGTAAATTACACCAAGTGACTGTTCAGACATTCAAACCACAAATCGTAATTGGTAAATTACACGGAGTGGCTGTCGAGACATTCAAACCACAAAGCGTAATTGGTAAATTACACTTCACTAACTTAATCCAGTTTACACCACAACATTTGCTTTTCACGTAATTTCATAATATAAATATTGTCTGAACCGCTACTATGTCTGTTGTATCCCAGCCAATCTGATGAACCTTGGTATTTGACGAAAGGCTTCGTCGGCACTGGATATGGTAAATATCGTGCATTTGACATATTGTTATTCATCTTTCTTCACGCTCACACTTAAGTTCTTAGACTTGGTTAAAACAACTACCCAATAAACTCTTCTCATAGTTTGTACTCCTTTAAACACAGACCATACAAATTAGTTTCACAGTTTTTACTTTAAAAACAGACCCTACAAACTAATCTCACAGTTTTTACTCCTTTAAAAACAGACCTTACAAACTAATCTCACAGTTTGTACTCCTTTAAAAACAGACCCTGCAAACTAGTCCCACAGTTTGTACTCCTTTAAAAACAGACCCTACAAACTGGTCCAACAGTTTGTACTCCTTTAAAAAGCGACCCTACAAACTAGTCCCACAGTTTGTACTCCTTTAAAAACAGACCCTACAAACTGGTCCAACAGTTTG